CCATACCAAACTTAAAACCCTTTTGTTCAATTTTCAGAGAATTCTTCTGCTGATGGACCAACAGAGAGGGTCCCAGTTCTCTTCGTATAATTTCTTACCAACATTCTTCAGTCTGGAAAATTAAAAAAAACAAAACAGGAAAAATTGAGCAGCTGTTTATCAGCTCACTTCCTTGTTCATGGTGAGCCGCCTTTCTGCAAAATCCTGGCTTACCATGATGTGCAAAAGCAATGTGTGCACTTACCTGAGAGTAAGTCCCATGACAGTGTCTGAATTCATGAACCCTAACTATTTGTAATATGGTTTGATTCTGCTTAGTCAACCAACTGTGCTTAAGTAAGTTGAAATGTGTGAACCTAATCATTATGGGTAAGCCAGGAAGGAAGGGGCATAATGTATCATAGCAACTGTCTTCTTTTGGGAGAGGAAAAAACAGTGCTGCAAGTTCTCAACTCTGCTGGCTTTCTTCTGGAGAGATGCTTATCCCTCTGTGAGCCAAGCCAGTAGGATTTACTTCTGAGTGAATGTGTATAGCTTTGTTCTTCTAAGAAGATGTAACACTTGTGTTGCTTTTTTGCTTTAACAGAACTAAATAATGTAGCAGTTTTAGTTAAGCTGCCTTTTCGGAATCTATTCTCTCACCGAAATATACTTATTTTCCCCTGAAAAACATATTTTCATTTCTAGCAACAGCTTTCCTTCTTGTAATGCTAGAAATGGACATATAACTGCAAGAAAGTATGCCTTCTTTTCTAACCAACTCCAGCAATGAACATTGGAATCATCCACTTTGATCTTTCAACCAAAATACTGATGAATTTTATTGTGGTTTTGAGCGGTGCTGCTCAAGAAGTTTGCAAACATTTTGGTTTTAAATGCTTGCTTTTATATATCAATCCCACTGAACATTTGAATGAGGTTGCCAATAACTGAGAATGTTTATATTTTCAGGAGTAAAAGGTTTTTTTAAAGGTCCAGTTAAGGAGGCTAAGAGGCACTACATAAATGCAATGTAAGTATTTGTCTCGTAAGCACATACTTACAGTATCTTTACAATTATAGAAAGGGATATACATTTTTATCTGAGATACTGGTAGGTTCCTCCCAGCAACACACAGTAATTATAATGGACAAACTGTATACTTCTGAGAGATTCTTCATGAGAAGATAATCTGGAAATAATGCTGGTTACCTCCTAAAAGATAGTTTGCTTCCTTTCTTCTCGTGCACTATATCCTGTAGAGTGGGCTGTGTATATTCAAGGACAACCTCTCAATTCTCACAAAGAGGTACCATAAATATGGGCTAGGTCCCATGTGACTGATGTGCATACTAGATTATACACCATGCTGAGCCAGCAGCCACTTCTGTGACTTAGCAGTAAGGCCTGGTTTCCTTAACAGGCAAGTCAAGATAGAAAGAATTCTCTGAAGATGTTAAGTTAGAAGCTCTGCTAGTTTTCTAATGCATAGTTTCCTCTATGCAATAAGTACCCTCATAAATGTATTGGACAAGATCTGCGAAAGTTGTTCATCCATGTAGTGATTCCATATTTTCTGAGCATTCAACATAAAATTCTCACAAGCAGCAGATTCCTTATTATATTGGGATTCTGTGTGAAAGATGCTATCTTTGGGAATCTAGGAAGTATTACCATTGATGCAAAAAGGGAACAGGTGACTCTTTTTTTCTTTCAAGATTTTTCCAAAAAGGAAACAGGTGACTTTTTTTTTCTTTCAAAACAATGCAAGAATAATTAGAAGCTGGGTTCTAGGTGTTATATGCTGACATACAGAAACAGTGCTGTGGCCTCTTCTCATGTTGTCATTCCACTACATGCAATTCCATTTTGTTTTAGAACAGCTTGTACTGGATGGCTATAATTTCATGTAGTCCAATATCTTATAATCACTTGCTGTTACTAAAGACCTTACCTTGGTGATTCCATTTTGTTTGTATTTTATTCTGGGGGAAATGGGCTTATTGGGAAAGGCTGGGAGAACCATTCGGAACAAAAGGCGTGATTACTATTATCAATACATCCCCGAGCATAATGAAATGAAAGGGAAAAGAATACTTTCCTCCACTGATTAAATTGACTAGCAATTCCGCTGAGAGAGTCTGCTAATGAATTGCCTGTCAGATTTAGAGAAGCCACATTGCCAGCAATAGGAAAGAAACATTTGCTTGAGCCAATCCAGGGTATGATGAAAAACATACACAATTTTGAAACATACAATGGATACAAAGATCACAGCAATATTTGAGTCACAGAAGAATTCAAGCAATCCCTGTTGTCATCAGTGGGCTGCCTTTTGAGAAACAAGCAGGTGAACATCTATCTGTATTTTTTCTCTCTAGACCTAACTTGGGTGCAGCCAAGACTCATTAAACTTTTTGAAATATTATTTCCCCCAAATATACAAGTAATCTTAAGTCTTGCAGGCCTAAAACTTTCCATTCATTTAGTTGGCTCAGCAGAGTTTCATTTTGCTCTTTGTGATTTCCATGGCCAGAACCCTCTCTTTTTTCTATGACCTGCTTTGATGCCTTGGTTGCATTAAGAATATTTTACCCCATTAAAAAAGCCACTGGGCTGCCCAGCGCATGCTTCCGCATTTGGAGTGGCACAGCTGCCAATCTTTTTTGCACTCTCATTGTTTAGCAGCAAACTTTGTGTCAGTTTCTGAAACTGAGACCAATAGGTTTTAGTAGCTGGTTAAGGAACCCACCACTGGGCAGAACAATGCCACTTAACACCTCAGGCTGACTGTCTCTACCGGCTCTTTTCAAAGCTGTTTGCCCAATTAATTTGGGCCACTGCCCTCTGTGTTAACAGCTTTGGTGTCTCTTCAGTCTTCTCACCATCATAGCCAGATTTATTCTTGGGAAACTATTTTCTTGGCTATTCCTGAACAGCAGCATTCTGGATTGCGCCCACAAATCTGGGGGCATTGTTTAGGTGCTTAAAGAACCTTAAATTTAAGGTTCTAAGATAGTAGCCTATGTATAAACAGCATTTTCCAGTGACTTATGAGTAATGAAGCACTTTTCCTCTCCTTTTTTTTTCTTTTTTTGCAGTTATTATTTCTGTCTTAAATCTATCAGGTTTTTTTATTTGCATTCATATTCTACCTTTTCTCTAGAAAAGTGTGGTGCAGAACATATGGGAGATGCAGCAATATTATCTCTAAACCAACAATCTTGTGTTGTCCATTGGCTGAGAAAAATCAGCCCAAAGCCACCCAGGGAAACGTGCAGTCAGGTGGGAATGTGGAACTGGATCTTTGATCTTTATTTGATTTCCATAGTCATCCAATACAATACTGTATTCATCCAGCACCTTCTTCTCCATTTTTGGTAAATGCTGTTTCCTCCTGGGTTTTTTTTTCCTATTGTTAGATTAGAAGATTTAAAATTATGTGTCAGTCTGCATGCTTTCCTCTCTTAAAGTTAATTATTGCTTGTCCTGTTCTTTTGTAAATTGGTGAATCTCTTTGAAATGTAAAAAGCAGTCATATCTGTACTGAACCATAAAGGGGGAAAAAATCCAAATGCTGTAACTGATAAATGTATTATCAGGACCAAGGAAGATGTAACAAAATAGTATATTACCTTTTAATCAGGACAGATATTACAAAAACAAGGAATGATGTCACTCTTGCCAGAATGTAATTTTCATTGTTTTTTAACATAAGTGCATGTTAATTTGTGAATTCTGAGAGCCAGTTTGATTTCCCCCACATTATTGAATTTTTTAAAAAGCTGTTTCCTAAATAGCATAGACATTTGCTGTGTGTGTGATATGCTTCAGATCAAATAACAGCTAGATTAACTAGCCCATGCATACCTGGGACTCTAGTGAACCTGTGATTCAGAAAACTCCAGTATCTTAAGTGACTGAGCAGGTCTTGCGGAGCAGAAAAATCTGAAAAGTGAAAAAGAATTGTTTTATAAAAAGATGTTTCTTCTGCAATGCTACACATTTAAAAATTAGATCCTGCCCTTGAACAAAGAAAGCATGCCTGGTGAGTAAAATTGCAGGCACAGTGCCAGATGTCTTGAAATATAAAAACTACTCTAAACATACTTTGTTTCTTCATCTGAATGCCAAACATCTTCCATGCTTGAAAACTCTGTGTGTGATGAATTGTCTTACTTTTGAATATTTTTTTAGTTTTTGAAAAAGGAAATAAAACTTTGAGAAAGTCAAAACTCTGAGAAAAGCAGTTTTCCTCTCTTTATGAAATGTTCCAATTACAAACATCGCACTTCTGTACAACTGGCAAACAGGCAGCTACTGAAAAATACACCTGCACGCGCACAATTTACAGCAAAAGCAGCACGTGTTGGCTATGCACGAAGGCTCTTGTTATGTTCTAATGTGGTGCTTCTGATGTTTGCCCAACATTTCTTCATTAGGTTGTCACTTGTATTGACTTTCTTAATTAGATTTTATGGTGGCGGCTGCTACTGTTATGATCGGGGCTACTCTCGGAGACGCGTGTACAAATGGAGCCAAAAAGTGACACAGAAATAAGGCAAAGACTTCTTTCAGTTCATCCCCGCTCCTAGAGACGGCCTGGACTCAGCCATGCCGTTTTCTTAAACAGTTCGCCACTGCGCTTTTCTTCAGTTTTTTTACCCGCTTCCCAGTCTACCCTACGGCTCCGGTTTTCCGTTCAGAAATTCTGCTCATTTTCCGAGCCTGGAAGAGACCGTTCCCTTAACCCATTTACACCGAAGAAACGCGACGCATGCTCAGTCGCGCCTCCAGAGCCTTAGAGGAGGCGCCCTCCTACCACCTTCGGTCCTGGGGACGGAGGCGGAGCGAGGAAAGGAGGGCGACGGCGGCGAGGAACCCGAGAAGGGGGCGTGGCTGGCTCGGGGAGCGCCGCCCATCCAGACCCGGGGAACTCGATTCAAGCTGGGGAGAATGGTTGGGGAGAACGGCGAGCTGAGCTGCGAGGGGGCGGCGGCGGCGGCGGGGGCGCCTGAGGATGGAACCGCCTGAGGTTTGGGTCCCCTACAGCCGGCCGGCCCGCCGGACCCAGTGGCTGGTGAGCGCTTTGGCTTACCACTACGGGCTGGACCGGGGGGTGGAGAACGAGATCATCGTGCTGGCCACGGGCTTGGATCAGTACTTGCAAGAGATCTTCCACCACTTGGACTGCGAAGGCGAAGGCAAGATCCCCGGCGAGGATTTCCAGACCCTCTGCCTGGTGCTGGGGCTGCAGGACGACGACGAGGCGGCCGCCGACCCGGAGGAATGCGCCGGCCTCTGCGAGAACCTCTCGCCCG